ACGGGGTATTGTTTGATGGTATCCACTTCTTTTTTGATAGGTTTAATCCCTTCTGGGCTTATTGTGTGTTCAAAAAGTTCAAACAAAAAAAAACCGAAAACACACTTACTTTGATGTATGTTTATTCCATGTTCATCCAGTCTTTTCAACACTGCTTGTACATGCTGTTCGTGTGATTGCAAATCGGGGCTGGCAATTAACAAGTCGTCTATATACCCCTGCGCAAATGGCATATCTCGAAGTAGGTTATCTATGAATCTTTGAAATGTCTGTGCCGCATTTCTCAGGCCGAATGGCATGCGTACAAACTCGAATAAGCCAAAGGGTGTAGTAATAGCTGTCTTGGGAATATCTTCATCAGCCACCGGGATATTGTGATATGCCCTGACTAAGTCAATTTTAGTGAATATGTTCATACCCTGTAAACCGTTGGTGAAATCTTGGATATGAGGTATTGGGTACCTATCTGGTACGGTTTGACGGTTTAGGGCTCTGTAATCCCCGCACGGTCGCCAGTCACCTTCATTCTTCTTTGGGACCATATGCAAAGGGGATGCCCATTGACTATCAGAGGGACGGATAATACCCAATTGTAGCATATAATCAAACTCGGCCCTAGCGATTTTGAGCTTATCTGGTGCTAGTCTCCTGGGTTTTGCAAACACCGGTGCACCTTCGGTTTTGATAGTGTGACTTACTTTTAGTTTGTCTTTAGAAGGCTGTGGGTTTGGTTTAGTTAAGTTTGGAAATTCCGCGAGTATATCTTGGAATTTCGCTGTTGTTACTGGGGAGTTTGAATCAAGTTAAGAGAGCTGATGTGACTTTCTTTGCCTTTTGTGTAATACGAAGTTTCTTTTAGTGTTAATCGCCGTTTCTTGGTGTCAACTAGAAATTCGTATCTCTCTAGAAAGTCCATCCCCAGTATTGCCAGATCTAAGTCGGCTACCGTGAAAACCCAAGGGAATTGCCTCCTGAACCCCAAATCTAGGGTTAAAGTTTTCTGCCCAAATGTCGCAATTTTAGTTTTATTTGCAGCTTGAAGTGTAATTGATGATGTTTCTCGACTAATCTCAGTTTTATTTTGAGGGATGATGCTAAGAGCAGCGCCAGTATCCACCAAGAAATTCAAGCCAGAGTTTCTGTCTCTAACATAAAACAAGCGACTGTTTAGGCGCCCCTCCTCAGTCGTCGCGACCTGGGGAGGGGTTACTCGTTTCCCGCTGTCTTAGAATTATGCTTAGGCCAGGCGCATGGTTGCATGCACTTGGTTGAGTTGACACCAAACTTCCAGTGGTACCAACAAAACTGCCCAGATTGTCTGGACATTTGTGACCTGTTTTGTGACTTGGATCGTGGTCGTTGTGGTGACCTGCTCCTGTTTCTATGACCCATTTGCATTCTGGTGACAGCCTCAGTGAGACTCTTAACACTCGCAATGAGTCCTTCTATTACGGGGTCTTTTGCTGATTCTACTTTTTGTGTGTGATTTATTGTGCCTGATCCAGTTGGAGGACCTCTTTCCATTATTCTGTCGGCTATACGCGCTAAATGAGATAATGAGGTTTCAGGATCTTGTGCATCCAAACAGTGTTGGACGTAGCATGGGAGAGCTTGTATCCATCCTTGTTTTAGGACTGCTTCACCCACTGTGTTATCACCCACTAAGACTTGGAGGTGACGTAAAAACTGTGACGGCGACCGATCACCTAGTGTTTCACCTTGAAAAAGTCTTTGGATTCTTTGACTATCTGATAATGATAAACGGTTCATTATCTCTCGTCTTAAGATGGTGTATGGTTGTGGTGATGGTGGACTTAAAATCAAGTCACGGACTTCTTTGGCGACTGAAGGAGGAAGGATAGAACACAAGTCTCTATAGCGAATCCCTTCAGATTTGATATTGTGTCTCGTGAAATAATGCTCTAGTTGAGCAAACCACAACTCAGGATCACTACGATCAAATTCTGGAAGTCGGGATTTCGTAGTCATAACAGTGTCTATCTCCACTGGTGACAAATCCTCCAGATTATGGGTTTCTATTGAGTCTGACATGAGGTATGTGACAAATATAGCAATAAAGTTAGCACGAAAAATGGTTACTATAACACGAATAACTTAAGATAATACGGAATAAACTAGTTATATACTCAAATTAGTTTACGGATAATCAGGTCTACTTTTACGATTAAGTAAAAAAAATGTTAATAACAGAAATGAGGTTAAATTTGTGTTCAAAAAGGGCTCACCAGTTTCGTGCCTTAAGTAACCCTCGTGCTATTGATAGAAGAAACCAGACAAGTAGTGAATAGGTCTTTATTTCGATCTTAGCGCGGTCACAGTGGAGCGTGGGATTATCTGTTCAGACAAACAAAGGCTCTCAACATTCAATATAAGATAATAGGGAATATAACGCTTATACAAAACAAGGAAGTGAATGAATACTTGAACAATACTGTTTTGGCAAATACTTGGTTGTTTGGGGTCAACTCTTAACCAACCAACCTAAGCTGTTACAAGTCAGCTGACAAGTAATTTATTCTGGGCTTGTGAACATTTTTGGAGTGTCTTCGTAAATTCTCTGTTTTGGGAGACAAGAAAAATGGGGGCCTACCACGTGCAAATTTATCACTAAGCAATTTGAAGACTGTAATCAATTTGCTTATAGTTCTTCAATATGAAAACGGGAATAGGTCCAGCTTTGCCAGCCGTCCATCATACGGAAGCTTCGCTATTCCGGGAACCAGCTTAGTTGCCGTTCTCTGAACCTTTTCCAGAAGCTCACTGTCTTTTTTTAAGCAGGGGCTAGCCGCTTGTATGCAGTACTCAAGTTTGGGACGTACGAACAATGTATACAAAGTCAAAAACGTTTTGGCGTCGACATGACTAAAAGCTCTACGTATTGACCATAACGTTCTAAAACCTTTGGCGGCTATTGCAAGGCAGTGTGCAGTAGTCTTTAAGTCTTGGCTAACGATAACTCTTAAGTCATTATATGTCTGGACGACAGGTAGCTCAGTGTTATTCATCGTGTATGTATCTGTGCCTTGATGACCGATATGCATCACAACACACTTGGAAATATTTATCGGCAACTGCCAGGCTTCAGACCATTCAGATAATCTCTTCAGGTCATTTTGAAGTTCTAAGCTATCACTCTTACATCGTATCGTTTTCCATATCTTGACATCGTCGGCATATAGTAAGACCGATGATGATAGGAGACAAGGAAGGTCATTTACATACAAGAGGAATGGCACTGGCCCCAAAACTGTACCCTGGGGCACTCCACTAAGCACAGTTTCCCAGCTAGATAACTTTGAGTTCACCCGAACTCTTTGTTGACGCCCAACTAAGAAGTGTTTTATCCACATCAATAAATTGCCTCCAATCCCGACTTTTCTTAACTTATATAACAGCCGGTTGTGCGGAACTTTCTAAAAAGCTTTACTGAAATCAATGAAGGCGACGTCTACAGGTAGCTTTTGGTCCTTAAGAGCGCACCAGCTTTCACGAGCCACTAATAAGTTAGTGAGACAAGAATAACCTATTCTGAAGCCGTGCTGCTTCTCCGAGAGGATCCGGTTTTTATCGAGATACTTAAACAACTCCTTCCGAATAATCTTTTCTAAGATTTTAACAACCACAGGTTCATTCACAAGGAGCATTGCAGATGAAAAACTGAACTGACCGCACTTAAGAACATCAAAGATCTATATCGTTTTCCTACGGCCGATTCCGGCCCCAAAAACTAAACAACCCATCCTTGTTCGTCTCAAAGACATTGGATATTAAGCAAACCTTGAGAAAGGTTTCAAGTAGTGAGTTACACAAAGTTGGTTTGTCGTGATTCTCGCGCTAGTGATAAGTCGCATGATCTATATATATCTATAGATCCATCCTTGTCCTATTTTTCATTGACTGATGCACATGTAAGTTAACCGAAAGAACTAATTGAATCCAGAAAGATCAGAGTAATCTCTAAATGTCCAGTGCTATTAATTGTGCATACTTTCATAAAAATGTCAAATGACCTGGAAGCTTCATAGATACTTTTTAAATGATGTAGATAATTTAGCGTATATTTTCCCCCTTCGCTCTTCCAATTAACAATGTGGAACTGCAGTTCATTGAATTCAGTTCCATCTTTCAAAGATGTTTTCATAGGTTCACTTACCGTCACTTGAAGTTTATGATAAAATAAGCTTCCGACAGATGAAGATTAAAGTAATCTACACTAGGCCAGATGTTTTACTTTCACAGTCTACCATGTTTCTGTTATATTTTGTTTCTTATAATCTTTTGTTCCCATAATCTCCGTCTTTTTACGCTTTACCGAGTACAACCTTATGTGGAAAATTTAAAAAGACTTTCGAATTTGTTTCCAATGTTGCTTTTTTTGACAAAATGAATATTTTTTGATATCAGCATGGACATCAATATAATGACAAGGTCATCTATTCACCCTGAAACTACTTTTATCCCAGGATATTAATACTGCTTTCTTTTGTAAGTGAAATATAGTTATGGTTCGGTAAAAATGTCGAACGTTTGTAAGCTCTTACATACATAAATATAGTATTGCTGGCCATCAAACCAGAAAAATCTCAATTGAAAATTCTCTTTACTGCAGTTCTTTTTTCCTGAAAGCTGTACAGCATCTAACCAAAATAATATCATATTTGGTACAAATCAGTGCTTAAGGCCTTCGTCTCGTCCCAGATCTAACTTGAAATTCCATGCCCGAATATGTAACAGTTAGTGGTGTTTATTATTCCAGATTTGTGTGGACAAATGTACTACGAGTTCAGTCTGGATTAAGTATCCTCATACAGATCTTCAGATATAAGAAAATATCAAAAATTCAGTGCTTCTTTTTGGACACATGGTGTCTTATGTCATTTCACTTTGATATTCTCATCTTTTTCTTGCGTACTTTTTTAGCTGCATTCACTGGTGTATGCTCATAAAAACAGACAGTTGACTAATACTGGGTATAAGAAATGTCGCGTGGTTACCTAGGAAACCACAAAGACGATGGATGGTCAGGATATGTAAGTTTCTGTTAACAATATATTATAGTTTACCAGACATTGTGTGCTACAATGAGTAGTAAACTTTTAAAAATAATCAAAAGTCCTACTGTTCCATTATTATTTCTGTAATAAATCCTACATTTGACGTTTATATACCGTTTTGTTTTACTGTAACTTATCTTAAACTACTAGAGTGAGACATCATCATTATAGCCGTGGAGGTATTATGTGTTCTGTATTAAGAAAGCCTACTCCGTAACTGGCTCGTTATACGGTTAAGCAACTTTAAAGTATACACAGCGTCTACTTTTGTTCTTTACTCCACATATACTGTCAATAGTTGTACCACCTTTGATGGTTGTAAGATTATACTAGGGATTTATTTATTCGAGCTCTAGTTAGTTATCAGACGAAATGTATTTTAGACTAAATTAGTTTGTATCACGATATTTGGACATACAGATTTACGCAGAACAATTTCGTCTTTCTGCCAAGGTTGGAATTACTCAGCAAATAAATATAGAGTCAGACGTGACTCGGACTAACCTCGATTTGTGATTTGTACCGCTATCAAAGGAAGGAAATCGTTCCATGATTGCCTCCGAGGCATTAGTTTGACTAATGTAGAGCCTAAACTATTATCATCCGACTCTTAATTAGAACTTGGCAACAATGAGGCTGTAAAAACTAGACCGGGTTTAGATCTAGTCCTGTATGTATAGATGATATAATGTTTGCTCTTATATAGATTTTACAAATCTGAGGAACTAAACTGTCTCCGTACTCCATAATCCCACTGTCTAGCACAAATTTGTGTATTTGAAATAAGGTGACTCTCCAAACTTAAAGGATAACGATGCAACCTGGTTACCCAAACCTAAGTAGATCAGGCGGGGTTCGAGTCTCATGGGGGGCATGGGTTTCCTCAAGATTGCAGCCATCATTTGGTGACGAGTAACAACTAGCACGAAGTCTAGCTCCACAATATCCTACTGAATGCCTCTATCTGACTACTTAATCCTTTTGCCTGATTGATTATTTCACCTAAAAAAATTTTGTTGTTACCATGGCAGTTTAACGATAGACACATGGCAATTGCAGCAGTCAAAAGTTTTTAAACTTTAGTCATTTTATATTTCCGTAGTCTGTATTTTTCCCAAGTGCATGGAGGTATACTCCATATATTTTACACTCTTCTGAGAATTTCCCAATAAACTTGTTTTATGGAAGACTGTTGTGTAAATCTGTGGTTATATTCAGTAATCACTGTCATTTGTTTGGTCAGAAATTAAAGACATCATTTTGCTTCGAACTTTCAGTTAGTATTTTGCTGGGTCACAATGCAAGCACATCATCTTACCTTATTCTGGAACTTCTTACTTACTTACGCCTGTTACTCCTCGTCAAGGAGCATAGGCCGGCCACCAGCACTCACCATCCAACCCCGTTCTGGTCAATCCTTTCCAGCTCTTTCCACTTGTTATTCACCCTTTTCATATCTGCTTCTATTTCCCGACGTGATGTGTTCTTTGGCCTTCCTCTTTCCCGCTTTCCTTCATAATTCCATGTTAGCTTACCTCATGATGCAGTTTGATGATTTGTGTAATATATGTCCTATCCATTTCCATCGTCTTTTCCGAATTTCCTCTTGATCTGGAAGCTGGTTTGTCCTCTCCAACAAGAGGCTGTTGCTGATGGTATCCGATCATCGGACATTGAGTCTCCTGTTTAGACAACTATTTATAAATACTTGCATCATTTTGATGATGGTTGTAGTAGTTCTCCACGTTTCAGCTCCGCATAGTAGGACTGTCTTGACGTTCGTATTGAAGATTCTGACTTTGGTGTTGGTTGGCAGTCAGTTTTTTTGAGTTCCATATGTTCTTCAATTGTAGGAATGCGGCCCTTGCTTTTCCAATCCTCCCCTTTACGTCTGCATCTGATCCTCCTTGTTCGTTGATGATGCTTCCCAGGTACGTATAGGATTCTACATCTTCCAGAGTTTCGTCATCGAGTGTGATTGGATTGGTGTTCTCCATGTTGTAATTGGGGACCTTGGTTTTCTCCATGTGTATGTTGAGGCCTACTGATGCAGAGACTGCTGCTACACTGGCTGTCTCTATCTGCATTTGTTCGTGTGTATGCGAGAGGAGGGCTAGGTCATCTGCGAAGTCCAAATCGTCTAATTGGTTCTGAGGCGTCCAATGTATTCCGTGTTTGTCCTCAGATGTCGAGATCTTCATAATCCAGTCGACTACCAGAAGAACGAGGAAGGTAGAGAGTAAACAGACTTGTCTGACTCCCGTACTTACTTGGAATGCATCAGTCAGCCGTCCTCTATGCACGATTTTGCGCTGTAGTCCGTCGTATGAGTTCCGGATTATGTTGACAACCTTCTCAGGATCTCCATAGAGTCTAAAAGGTTTCCGTAATGTCAAAGGTATCAAAGAAGCATTAACTTCAACTTGTCAAGAGGTTCTGGGTCTCAAGAAGCATCATCATAAGGGATGGATCTCTATAGAAACACTGGACAAGATCAAAGAAAGGAAGAACAAGAAGACAGCAATTGTCAAACGCCTTTGCATAGTCAATGAAGTTGATGTATAGTGATGAGTATCACTCAACTGATTGTTCGACGATGATCCGTAGTGTCTCGATTTGGTCTGTGCATGACCGATCCTTACGGAATCCAGCCTGTCGATTTTGAAGTTGGGCATCTACTGCGTCTTTCATCCGATTTAGCAACACTCTTTTAAAGACTTTCCCTGGCACTGACAGTAGTGTGATGTCTCTGTAGTTTTTACTTTTGCTCAGATCTCTCTTTGAAATCTTGATGAGGTGTCCTTCTTTCCAGTCCATCGGCACTTGTTCCTCCTTCCAAATCTTGAATAGAAGATAAAGCATGTTTGTAGTTATTTCGATGTCTGACTTCAGTGCTTCAGCTGGTATATTGTCGGGTCCTGCTGCTGCTTTCCCGCTCTTGATTTGTCTGATGGACATTCTGATTTCTTCGGTCGTTAGTGGAGTGACATCTATAGGAAGGTCTGTCTGTGCTGCTTCGATGTTCGGTGGGTTCATTGGAGCCGCCCTATTCAAGAGTTCCTCGAAGTACTCTACCCATCTGTTCCGCTGTTGTTGGATCTCATTGATTGGCCTGCCTTCTTTGTCTTTGACTGGTCTCTCTGGTTTACTATATCTCTCCACTAGTTTCTTCGTTGCATCATATAGTTGTTTCATATTTCCTTCTCTTGCAGCTTCCGCCGTCGTTGCTAGTTTTTTCCACGTATTTCTTCCTGTCGGCCTTAATGCTCTTCTTTACTTGCTTGTTTGCTTCTGTGTACTCAGCTTGTGCCTTGACTTTCTCTGCTCGTGTTCGGCTGTTGTTAATTGCTGTCTTCTTGTTCTTCCTTTCTTTGATCTTGTCCAGTGTTTCTATAGAGATCCAAGATCATAAGGAATGGATCTCTATAGAAACACTGGACAAGATCAAAGAAAGGAAGAACAAGAAGACAGCAATTAACAACAGCCGAACACGAGCAGAGAAAGTCAAGGCACAAGCTGAGTACACAGAAGCAAACAAGCAAGTAAAGAAGAGCATTAAGGCCGACAGGAAGAAATACGTGGAAAAACTAGCAAAGACAGCGGAAAAAGCTTCAAGTGAGGGAAATATGAAACAACTATATGATGCAACGAAGAAACTAGCGGGGAGATATAGTAAACCAGAGAGACCACTCAAGGACAAAGATTTCAGTAAGTGTGGAAGAGCTACGGGCGAAGTTAGTTATGATGTGTGCGACTGGGTTAGATACATTAAAATGTCGGTTGAAGTTTAAAGTGTAAACTGGTTGCAGGTTTTAGGAAGCTATTTCTCCTACTATTATAAATCACATTTTTATTCAACCTTCGTTAACAACCGTATGTATAAAAATATTTTAGTTTGTATCACTACAGTGTCAATCTTACTTTGAATTTGAATGCTGCAAGCAAAATTTGATGTTATTTAGACTATAAGTTCTACCAGTGTTTTGATATTCTTTTAAATTTTCGAAAAATACGAAACGAAAGTTAGTCTACTCATTAGTAGTCAGCGAAACAAACTAGTTTTCTAGGCATTTGATTTTGAGGATGGTTTTCCGGTGTAAACCAAAAAAAACAACAACTCAACAGTATATTTCTAAAAAAGATTATCACAGATTCGTGATAACTATCGTAACCAATGGTTAGAGACTCTTGGTGACATGACTCAGAGTCGATCACTTCCGTCTGCCAGGGAAATCCTACTCACTGCCTTCTCGTGGCGGGGGTGTTGTTCACAAAAATGAGAGGACGAAAAGCGAATGTCCGGCGCTTTAACCGGATCCCAAACCAATGGTGCACATGGGCTCCAGTATCCTGTGGGAACAAATGACGCATGAACCAATTGTTGGTCACCCGCTATCATGGGACTGTATCTCCTCACGATGCTCCACTGCCTTGTGGATCAGACCTTTAGGTCGGAGGTTCGGGGAGTGGCCCCCTAAGAAAACCACCTACTTCGGTTTAGGCACCCGGGCAGTATCACAGCCCTCACACATATCGAATAAGATTTATGTTGCGCATATGTATTTGGTGCCTCCTTGTACCAATATCTATATGTTAAAATAATAATAATAACAATGGCGTAGGTGTATACACTCACTGTCTTCCCTTAAACTGAGAGATTAAAATCGCTTCCTATCTTTCTTTCTACGAACTAATTGTTTTTTCCTGTACTATATCCTTATTGCAATCTTTCTTTTATAGATTTCCACAACTGAATTAACTACTTTTATGAATCCGGTGTCCATCTTGTTGTGTTAATGAGGTATGGCAACTTGGACCGATGCATATATGTGCCTGGTCCTATGTTGTAGCTGACTGACTGACTTATCACGGATTTAATCTCGGAACCTCATCTCATATCAAAATTATTAGCATTGAATCTTTGTGTTTATATTTCTTATTTAGTGCTTAATAGCAGTCCATTCATGAGTAGGCAAGAACTTTTTTCGGTTAATTATTATGGAATACCTATCATTGTTTTCGAGTTCCGTAACAGTCTTAAACTTCATGAGTTTTTAGTAGAACATCGGTAAACTTAACTTTCAAATGTGATCCCAAAAGACAATTCAACTTGCACATTGCTATTTAGTCACCAAGTGTAAAACAAAATAACCATGCAGTCATTTAATCATTTCAGTGTCTAGTCAACTGGATTTTCTAAAATGGACTTCAACGAAATCTCGTCATATTGTCTGTTCTTTCTCATGCTTACTTAATTTGGTTATTGTTTTTTGTATTAATTTTGATAATCTTTTATTATCATTGTTACTATAATCAGGGTGGATATATGCGTGCTAAGATATCGAAATTGGAAAAGCAATTCAATGAACAAAGCGAATCTGGTTTATCATTATTCAGTGGTGTCTCTATTTATGTGAACGGTTATACAGGTTGGATAATCAGTCAGTTTATTATTATTAGTATTTATAGACCCACCTGCTTTGGTCTTACGAGATTTAATAATACGCCATGGAGGTCGTTACCAAGCATACTACAGTCGATCAGCAGTTACTCATGTGATTGCCAGTCGTTTACCTTATGGAAAACTAAATAAACTCTCAGATGAGAAGTTAGTCACTGCAAATTGGATTACTGAAAGGTAATTTTGTGTTCTGTAAACTAGTCACTTTTTATACTGAATGGTATTTAGACAGATAATAGATAGTACCTTTCTGATTATTCGTATGTGTTCATTAAAATTATAAAATCCAACCTCTTTAAAGCATTAATATTCAAAAATTCGGAAGCAAACTTACACTATCTGTGAACTTATAACTTTTTATCAGTACAGTGCTCTGTATTTAGGAGTTGGGGATAAATTGTATTTTTTAGAATATATTGATACAACAAACTTTGTTCCGATGAATCTGATACAGTTGACCAACCAAAGATTTTATTTTCTAAGGAGATTATATATATATGAATGCTCGTGGATGTGAATCGGTCTAGCTCTAGTTTGTGTACAATTGTCAGTCTCGAACAAAGAACGTCATAAATTCAGGACGTACAATCTGTTTCCTGGCGTTAACTATATTCTATGTAATCAATTAAATCCATGGAGACTAGTTGCAAGCGTGCAGTTAGGATTACCGATAATAGAAAAAATCGGTTGGTGGAGATCATGATAGAAAGTCGATCAGAAAATACTGAAGATCTTATGTTTGTTTTTTTTATTTTCAGTACTTTCCACTTCATTTTTATGCTGTTTTTCCTCTCATTTTTTCTACACATGTTGTAACGTGTGAGACTGCAGTTTAGATGGAGCAGCGTTTTAATCGATCGATTCAGTGACACGTAAAACACGCAAGGATGGCCTAGGGTTCTGACTGGCCCTGCTTCGCTGTCTATCCCAGCCAGTTGAGTCCAGAACGCAAGTCACAGCCTCTGAGATATGAATGATTATATTTCAGACATACTCTATTTATATACCAATCAACCAGACCACATCGTACCATAAAATAGAAAACAACATTTGTACAATATTTAACAAGTGAAATAAATATCGACCAATAGGGAGTGTACATTTAAAGTCCAAGGCCACCATTAGACTTAACATGATAATTACTCGTATATTTTTCTGCACATCCTAACAATACATAATGCTATCTGTCTAGTTGTTGAAGAGTAAAGTAATTAGGCAATCTAGCAGTTTCAAGACTACAGTTAATAATTATGCGCTAGTGTGTAAGTTCGAATCGGTGACAGTTTTTTTTCTACATCGACCAGTGATTCTGAAGGAGTTGGAACATTTCTTCAATGAAAAATAGGATATTCATGTTTAGTAAAATAGCATATACAGTCGTACGAATAGTAACATTTTTTGGCGCCTTCTTGAAGTTAGTCTGGCTGTAAAAGGTCATACCTACAACGCGTCGGTGAGAGCAGTTTTGCTCTATGCTTGTGAAACCTGGCCTCCGAGTTGAGGATGTTAGACGACTCTCTGTGTTTGACCATCGTTGTCTCCGAAGTATTGCTGACATCCAGTGGCAACACCATGTCAGTAATGCAGAGGTTTGGCATCGTGTGTTCGGGCGCAGAGACGATAATCCAATTGGTGTCACTATCTTCAAACATCGACTTCGGTGGCTTGGACATGTTCTACGATTGTCGTCCCAGAGAATCCCACGTCGTGCATTATTTGCCGATGCTGAGACTGGTTGGAAAAAGCGGAGAGGTGGTCAGTGTATGACATGGTGTCGTGGTATGAAAGAAAGCTGCAGAGGTCTGGCTTGTGCTGGTCCTTCACGACTCCGTGGTTGGGGTCCGACAGATGGTGCAACACAGTGGCTAGAGACGTAATCAAATATGGCTCATAATAGAATCCAGTGGCGATCCTGCTGTAACCTTCTTTTACTTTCTTCTTAAAAAGTGATCGTAACTTCTTTAGCTGAAAGAATTCTTTCTGGTTGTCTTTCTGTTTCCCCTATTATTATTATTATTATTATTATTATTATTATTATTATTATTATTATTATTATTATTATTAATATTCCACTGCCATACACTAATTAGTGGTCGTTATTTGTTCCCTTTTTCTCTTTACACGCACCTTACATTTTTTTATCTCTTGCCATTTTCATTGCTATTGTGTGGCGCATATCTATCTAGTGCCCCCTTGTACCAATATTTGTGTTCAAATAAATAAATAAACATTTTTTGTTCAGTTGTGCAAGGAAACTAATATCTAGGTATATTATATTGGCTTGGTTCTCATTCCCAGGACAGAGTGGGTTGGAGAATGCTGGTCGGCGGCCTATGCTCCATTAGGAGTAACAGGCGTAAGTAAGTAAGTAGTTGGTTCTCATTGGACTGACGATGTTATACAAACCAGCGGTTTCAATACTCGACTATCAATCACTAGCTTAATCACCCGTTCAGTTCTACTCTACCTTCAATATAATAAAATAATAGACCCTCTAAAAAGATAAAGGGTGTATTCTAGTCAGGAAACTTACAGGATTATTCGGAAGGCTATGACAAGATGAAGTATACTAACACTCATGAGTCGAATGATTACTGTAGCAACCATAAAAAAGCCTGTGTAATCCATGTGACCTTCGCTCAGTTACAAGTATGCTACCAAATAATAGATTCCATTATACTTTAAAAGTCATGGAACACGTCAGACATTTGCTTGTATAAAGCATACCAGTTTTCTTTCGGAACACTTTTAATTGTTGACGTATGAACTACTTGGAATCGACCAAACAAGACTGCGATCTGAAACTGTTATTTAGGAAGGAAAATCATTCTGAATTTTGTTAACATTTCTAACTCATTTGAATGTAGCTGTTTTTGTTACTCGCTAAATTCGTCATTGTATAAAGGTAACCGTGCTGTGTTAGTGTCTGTTCATTTATTATGACTTCCTAAATAGAGTTGTAGAGTACCCTACTATTCATAGTTCATAATCAAAATGTATAGAAATGTTTATTATATTGCTTTCTTCATAAGCACTATATTAATTATTAGCAATGAATGAATTCTGTCTTGATTATATTTTTACTTGAACTTTGTTCTTTAAAAGCTCCTATTCTTATTTTTTCCGTATGATTTTTACCTCTCTTTTTACAAAGTTGTCATTTGAGTTTGTATAACACGGTTGTACTAAGGATTTTTCTAAATGCCAAATGAGTCAGCGAAATCAATCAATAAATTCTTCTCCTCATAGTTCGGTTAAGGATACAGGATAGTCCCCAAGATCGAAGGTGTGTCTCATTATCGAGTACATAAACGTATACTTGGTTAATGAATTGCATTAAAACATTGGATAAATATTTTGATTTGAAAAGACAACATATGTCCCACCCAAAATGGTAGTTTTAAACTTTTATACGACAATCATTTTGTGTATAAGCTTACTAATATTTGGTATTTTCAGTATTGAAGCTGGTAAACTTTTGCCATGGCAAAGTTACCAGCTGTATCCAACTCATCGTTCTGGAACTGGGCAGAAAACTCTGAAGATTATACCTGTTATTCCCGCAGATGCGACAAGTATGTTTGCTCTTCAGAATATTGATAAAAAACGGTTATTGGTGGGAAGCTTTGTGTAATTGTTTATATCCTTAATTTTCATTGGAAAGTTTCAGACTAAAAAACGTTTTAGCGCTTGTGCTGATGATTTATTTTACACTGAAGAATCTATGAAACAAAATCTGGTCTTATATAGTTCTCTTATGGAATCCCTATACACCTTTAACCACTCAATGAGAATAATATCTAGAGCTTGATAAGATTGATCATTTATTGGTTCAATTACCTTTGAGCTTGGACTTGAATAAGGGTAAGAAATATAGCACTTGAAACCCTTTATGTTTGGATGAATTATGGTATAGAGTATAAAAAGTTTGTTGGAGCCTCATGACTGCTCTAATAATAATGTGATCAGTCTGCTTATCGACTTTAACCGAATCAATAGGAGTCAATCATCTATTATCAAAAGTTGGTTAATGCAGTTAAGCATCCGTAAATTACAATCCAGGTGATAATATAAGAATTAACTGTCCAAAACTTTAACAGCATTTAGAAGCCGAAGTATTTTAAAAACAGATTAAAAAATATCTTGAACAGTAACCACAAATAGTAGTATATATTTGAAAGTTTTAAGAAGTTAATGAGGTGCTGAATTCGTGTGCAAGCTTTCGAATTAATAGTCTAATTGCTAAAATTATTATTCAGCTAGATTCAAACTCCTTACTATGTGGCCACCAAGATATAATCCAGAAAGAAAATAGCATAACATTATTCTAGGAGTTAGAAAATGATTAATTCTACAAAAAGACCAGTCATATGATGTACATTTAAAAAGCTCTTATTACTCTTCGAACTGATAAGGTAGAAGTACAGAAACCTAGTACTCTGTTAACGAGAAATCATCTGCACGAAAAGTCTCACTACTTAAAATTGTTCATCAGCAATTATCCAGGAAAACAGGTTTCTACCAGTCTCTTGTGAAGAGTCCACGCATATTGCATATAATAGCATGCATTGATTAAAGACGTTTTAAGCACCTACTTTGTTATCAAATAAAGGCGTTGCCTATAAACGTTTACATATCTTGAAGGATCAAAGTTTAGTCTTGTCCTTAACTCCATCCGATATTTACTCGCCTTGCTTGATGAGATCACTTTGCGTAAGTTTTTCTGGTCTAAGAAAATGGTTCGTTGGACATTAATGAGCTGGAATGGGATTAATATGGATTAGATCATATTAGAATTCCAGATAAATACTTTACAAAAACCTACAGCTTTGTGAACTCTTATGTCTTCGTAGATGACCAAGATATTATTATTGAGTTTATTAATCAGATATGGTAGATGCATTGACTATCACTTCTGGTCGAAAATAAGATGAAATCTACCCAAAAACAAACAGAAAACTATCCTCATAACCTGAACTGTGGACCACAAATTCATTTTAAGCTGGATCCCTTTTCTATTTGGTTAAATGTTTTTCCTGGGCATTCAAGTTTTCAATCACCATCAATTCTTGCAGGTTTGTTTGATTAAAAGTCATTTGGGTGATGTTGGAATTTGTTTTTGATCATTTAGGGCTAGAATCAGTGGAATAGTAGGAAAGGATGATAAAAAGGCGTTTCTTATCCTACTGCTTACGTTTTTCCTTAATAATAAGATATACTTCATATATCTTTATAACCTTTGGTGTTTCCTAGACAAAACATCCACCAATAGTCGTATTGTATAGCTATTCGTTGCATACAAGTTTGTTCATCGTAATTTTATTCTTCACTATGTTCCTCGATATTTCTTTCCACTTACTTAGGTACACTTCAGTTGACTGACTATTACGCCATATATTTATTTACCAATTAAGTACAGCAAAATCAGTGGGTGATTGACCCAAACCTGGCTCTTTTCACTATGAAATAAACCTATAACTTAGTGCGAGAATCTTGACATAGTCTATGAGCTGCACTAATTTCTTTTTGTTTTGTAAATTTTAGATTCTGACAAATTAGAAATAGTTTCACCGCCTTCTGTTACAAACACAAATAAAGATCCAAATACAAATGTGTAAGTGAGACTTTTTTCCCCATATATCACATTTATTGTTCTCTTATATCAAAATAATTACTTGGAAGAAGCACAAATGGTGTACACTTCGTTTTGTAGGTGAATTGTTTGTCAATATTGATGATTACTGTAATCACCATCGGTCACGTTCCCAACAATCAGTTTCCGTGGTACTTGAATCATGTTAGGAAATTTCAATAATGGATTTTAATTCGAACTAGAAACGACCAGGATTGAGGAAATCTAAATTTGCCATAATTGTATGTTATATATTAGTGACCCATTATCTGACTCCACTTAAATCGTATTATAATTGTTATAATCATAATGGAACGATCCGCCAAATAGAGTTGACACGAGGACAAAGTACCGATAAGATAACTCGATTTGAGCATGCCCATATCGCTTTTGTACTGCCTCCGATAAATGCGTCGGATTAGAGATTGAGTCGTGTGAGTTGCTCGTCGATTAAGTTGGCCGTTTAGTTCGTCTATCAAACGCTTAGAGTTTGAGATGTTCACCGTCTACGTAGATTAGCAGGGTGCGTTTAGTTCGAAGTCAGGCTCACCACTCTAGTGGTCCTGGAATATCTGACTCATTGGCTCACTCGCCTTCGCCATTGCGCGTCATTTTGTAATGCTTCGCTTTCCGATCAACGATTGTACAAAATATACTTATTCAAAAATCCATTCTCGTATTTGATTTATTTAATTCCGTTATTCACTAATGCAAGTCGATAATTATATACGAGGATTGGCGACATGTATATTTCGACAACGATAGTCACATGATCAAATTGGAGTCGGATATTCTAGGGTCACTAAAATATTGCCATATTATAAGCAGAAAAATATAGTAATCTAATATTTAAGCATTAGTATAATTGAACTAGGTACGCATTACTTTTTGCATCATAAGTTTATACTTAATAACAATAGCTTAATTCTTTCTAGTATATATAAGTGAATCAGCGGCTAAGAAATAATTTCTAGAAGAAAATTGTTTCAAATACCTTGTTTATTGACTTCACTAGACAGTTCATGAGTATTGGATTATGGACCGGGGTAAAATTATACTAAACCGACGACTTCAAGATGAACTTTAAAGTAACCAATAAAAATGGCCAATTGGGACGTGTCTTTCGTGTAAATATAGAATAATGATAAAACTACAGTGGTCTAGTAGTTTTAGCATCATTAATAAACTTTTGCTAAATATCGATCATAATTATGTATTCGATCCAGACCATAATTCCTACTCGTTTATCTTTTAGAACCTAACTACTAACTCTAAGACCCCTCGACTATAGTTTCTAATCCTAGAACTCCTTAACCCTAGATCCTAATCCTATAACTCCTGAATCCTAACTATTAACCCTAATATACCTAACCTTAACACTCCTTCCCCCAACATATTGGCCTTAACAGTCTGTTTCACATGGAAGCCATCATCTATTCCTTTAGAAATAAGAAATATGATGAAAATCATGAGCTCCACCAACAAGTTATCCGCAACAGTGTTTTACATTCACACACTAGCTAGCTTACTTTTGATTGGTCGTTTAATGTCGTCGATATGGTATAGTTTTACTTGAACCGATCGTGCTCTTACAGGATTTTTTTTTCATTAGATAATATATACTAAATAAAGTATGGTTTAAATTTTCAACTTAAACATAAGGTGCATGAAGATGCTTGATGGTATAGTTTGCTGATGGATGAATAGCATGTTAGTTAAAAGGAAGAAATGTGTAAAATAGTCGTTGTATATAAGAATTCTACTATGGAAACAACCTTATTTAAGTTTAGATATATTTATCTTACAGACAGACTTCAATTACACATACAGTACATGTTCATGGAAAACTAAGGTTAAATAATAAAAGATAATTAGAAATATAAACAAATTATAAAATATAAAGCTATAAGTAGCGTAATATTAACACCCATAACCTCGAAATTATAACACGGAACTAGGAAAAATTACGAATGCCCTGGTATGGCCGAGAGCGGGGTGGGTTCGCCCTCCCTCTCGAAATACTCTCACACGGCCACGCTTATACAGCCTCTACCAGAGAAGTCCTACTCACTCCCTTCTCGTGGCGGGGGTGTTGTTCACAAAAATGAGAGGACGAAAAGCGAATATCCGGCGCTTTAACCGGATCCCAAACCAATGGTGCACATGGGCTCCAGTATCCTGTGGGAACGAATGGCGTGTGAACCAATCGTTGGTCACCGGCTTCCATGGGACTGTATCTCCTCACGATGCTCCACTGCCTTGTGGATCAGACCTTCAGGTCGAAGGTTCGGGGAGTGGCCCCCTAAGAAAACCACCTACTTCGGTTTAGGCACCCGGGCAGTATCTCAGCTCGCACACAAAAACATGATAAACTACCTACTTATGAAAAATATTCCTCTCGCTCCAAATAACAATCAAGTTTCTCTGGGATTATCTATTGAAGAAGGGTGTGCCTGAGAAGTTTATTAACATATTAAAAGCCCGGTATACAAACATCTCAGGCAGAGTGAGGGCATACAACCACCTCTCTCCATTGTTCCATTCAAGCAGTGGGGTTAGGCAGGGTTGCCCAATCTCACCATTCCTCTTCAACTTTGCCATCGATGACATTCTGGAAACAGCTCTGATGGATGTAAGTAATGGCGGTGTGGATCTGTTGCCTGGAGAAAGACTTCTCGACCTTGAGTATGCGGACGATATTGTCTTACTATGCGATAATGCCCAAGGCATGCAATCCGCACTTAACCAATGTCCGTACGTACGGTATGTGCTTTGCTCCTTCGAAGTGCAAAGTACTTCTACAAGACTGGCAGGATTCCAATCCTGTACTCACCCTGGATGGTGAGCACATAGAAGTAGTCGAGAAGTTCGTGTATCTAGGTAGCTGCATAAGTGCTGGTGGGGGTGTGAGTGATGAGATCAATGCACGAATAGTGAAAGCCAGAGCGGCCTATGCCAATCTGGGCCACCTTTGGCGCCTTCGTGATGTTAGTCTGGCTGTAAAAGGTCATACCTACAACGCGTCGGTGAGAGCAGTTTTGCTCTATGCTTGTGAAACCTGGCCTCCGAGTTGAGGATGTTAGACGACTCTCTGTGTTTGACCATCATTGTCTCCGAAGTATTGCTGACATCCAGTGGCAACACCATGTCAGTAATGCAGAGGTTTGGCATCGTGTGTTCGGGCGCAGAGACGATAATCCAATTGGTGTCACTATCTTCAAACATCGACTTCGGTGGCTTGGACATGTTCTACGATTGTCGTCCCAGAGAATCCCACGTCGTGCATTATTTGCCGATGCTGAGACTGGTTGGAAAAAGCGGAGAGGTGGTCAGTGTATGACATGGTGTCGTGGTATGAAAGAAAGCTGCAGAGGTCTGGCTTGTGCTGGTCCTTCACGACTCCGTGGTTGGGGTCCGACAGATGGTGCAACACAGTGGCTAGAGACGTAATCAAATATGGCTCATAATAGAATCCAGTGGCGATCCTGCTGTAACCTTCTTTTACTTTCTTCGTAAAAAGTGGTTGTGTCTTCCTTAACTGAAAGATTTCTTCTGACTGTACCTTTCCGTTCTCCCATTTTTACCATTATTATTACACCACCTTACATCAATCTCTTCGTTATAATTCCCTCCTTTTTTTCCTTCCCCTTAAATTCTCATTGTTTTATGTGGCGCATATATATTTGGCGCACTCTTGTACCAATATGTATGTGTTCAAATAAATAAACGAACGAAACGTAGATCATGAAATAGATACTTTTTCTTAACAAACTACTGGACTCTTGTAATTCAATTGATGATCACTAAATACAGACTCATTTAATCCAGTTTGAGAAACACACTTTGTGAGACGGCAATTAATAATACTTGGCTGCACAATCTGAAGTAGGCGGATGCGTGTTCCAACGTGAAATCTAGAGGTTGGAACTCGAATAACTTAACCACCACCACTCTGACGTGATATATACGTATATATACCTTTAATAATAAATCAACTGATATCTTTTCAGGAAGAAAAAGCTTGGTAAATCTTGTCGTAAGGTCCCTCTTTTGGTCACTTTTTTCTGAAACTAGTCGAATGTTTAGTTATCTTATTTTGTAATTTAAAACTAAAAGAATTTAAAAGTGTTATAGGTCATCAGTGAAAAAATGGGAACATGGATTCTAAGAAGTATCTAAACTCAGTAATCTAAAGGCGATATGCTTGCCACGTGATCAGAAAGTTCTAGGGTGTTTTATAGTATTTCTTAGGCTGTTATTATTCTGTAGTACAAACTAACATCGAATTGATCAATCCAAACAAACTGTCCTCGGAATAACAGATACTGTTATTCCAAACAATTAGTCTCTGATAAATCTCGATAAAGCAATGAGAAGATGAAGGTTAACAGAATTACGTGATATATTTGCGCAGTATATTTCGAACAATCTGATCACACATATACTTGTTAATACATTTTTATATGAAAACTAAAAGGTCAACTAGACAGGTTAAAGGTGAGCCGTAACAAAAAAAATGACGTACACGAAAGCAATGTGATAACAAATCAGTACTACCAGGGCAGGTATTTGAACACATAAAGGGGGGGGTCAGTTTCAGTATAGCCAAGGCTTCAATCAACCTTAGTATGCGCCCTTGAAGGCTTTTGTACGACACTACAAATACTGACTTAATATCAACCTTATGACCAGTCTCAACCAAATGTTTCGTAATGGAGGAAGATGTCTGTCTGTCCTGTGATCTTATTTTACCATTGGAATTCATTTGTTTCTGCAGCCATTTGGGTATGTATTCCGCCACCCTGTTATTGTTAATTCCGTAAATCTCATTACCAATATTAGGTAAGTTTGGACATTGACCACATTAATAATATGATCAATAATAAGAAACAAAATAAACAAGGTCATTAATAATTAATTCACTACAATATACGTTCACTAAACCTTTCGGTGTTTTAGTATAAAACAGAATGATTTTCGTTTGATAAATACCTTTATAATATTTCTTATCTGCGCACTGTTCATTAGTGCATTATTATGCATATTCCTTGCTGATTATTGCAATTTCTGATTGGAATGTTTTCGTTGTTACTCAACAGTACCCATGACTATTTAAAAAAATAGCTAGACAACAAACAAATCGATCTACATTTGTGAGACAATATTAAATAAAGGTATTTTGTTAGAGTGGTAGGTTAAAAAGATAATTGGCGTTAGTTACCAGAGTTTATTTCTGACAATCGTTAAGTAATTTACTCTTCTTTAGAAAAACTTAAATATAGACATTGGTTATCAACCTAATTCATTAAAATTACCGTTAAAGTTTGTTAGATCACTGATCATTGGCGTGCTACTAATGATTGCTTAGCTGATTTGAGAAAGATCACAATTATACACATATTGATCAAATGCAAACCATTGAATCGCGGCTTAGTTTTCGAAACAAATTGTCTCCATCATTGGCCCTGAAACTCCTTAGTCCAATCTTGAGCGGAGTCAAGGGCATATGGTAGTGAGAAAACAAAATGATAGACATCATCAACATAGAGCTTGGCACAGATATGCATTGCCTAAGTTACCATACCACATTAGCACAACGAGATCTAAATAATAAAACAGACCCAAATAATGTAGTAGCAATGATAAAAAGAAAAACCAAACCTTGAGAATATGGTCTGAAAAAGTATAGTGAAAAGGCATATATGAAAAGATACTGGAATTTAAGATTGAAAGAAAGATGAAGGGTCAATAAATCTTCACCATTGTGAACGGTTCTGGGCGATTTCACCTAAAGTCTTCAATTACTGACCGTGGATATCAACCTGGTAGTCTGCATCTACCATGATAGCTCAGAACAAGTCAACCACTTCGTGGACTGATTCCATCAGAAGTCATGTACTAGAATAAAACTGCTTCCTTTTGTTCTACTGTTTTTAAGTTGTCTATGTAATCAATTCGTAATGTAAACCACTGTTATAAGAGTACTTTTTTGATAAGTATCAGATGTCTCTAAAGTAAAAAACACACACTTACGTGGTAAATATATTGAAATACCTTGCTATTTTTTGAGATAAATATAAAAAGGCTTTCGAATTATGAATTTGTAAGTTAAAGTGCTTCGATATCCTTCGACTTTCCTTCTTCCAAACGATCATGGTATATAACGATTACATGGAGACACCAAAATATATCTATAGGATATTGTGATCAATATCGGTTGAATCAAAATTTAGTAATACTGATAAAAACTGCTCGTTAAAAGGTATGTCAGTTGAATTAGACTAGACTACATTATAGTGTTAGTTTACATTATTAGGCTACATAGCATACATTTATTCGCCAGTTCGTACTTGTAATAAATCTCCTTCTATAATAAAGACCACGTAAATCAGATATAAAACATGTGACAACGTTATCAAACTTTTTAATTGTGACATTTATAATTTTATGGTATCAGTAAATCTACTTTCATATAATAAATTATTTATTCATTAATAGTGAATTTTACTCGACTATAGTTTACTCAAGATCCAATCGAATAATAATTAATGCAAAAAATAGATTAATGTGTTCAAAACCTGTATTTGGTGCAAAATAAACTTATATCTGTTCATCTTTTCTTCTAATTCACGTTGATTTGTCTTTGCTCGCTTTATACAGTTGTTGATATTCTATAAATCTGAATTCTATATTTTAACTGTCATTTCATTGCATCTCGATATGACCCAACTTCAGAATATTTTGGCACATGTTGAAATTTGTACCACAATAAGTTTTGTTATAGTCATTTTGAATTTCATTGTTTAATAATCTATCATCTACTCATCACTTACTGTTTTGTTCGGATTGACCTTACTCAATTGAAGAGATACGAAAATTTGAGACGGTTAAGTTAATTGGTTATCTAATTATCATAAGAATGATTATATATATATATCAGTGCATCATATTATTTCTATCATAGGATAAAACCAAAAGCTCACTTAAAGCCGGAATAAACTAGTTGGGATAAAACATTGACAATCGTGGTTTACAGTCGATTAGACATGTAGTTAACTCATGTTTTCAGTTGTATGTTGCGTGGGAAAAGCAAACAAGTTTAATATTCATCCTAGCTAAGACTTCGTTCACTATCTTGTACGTTTAGCACATATCTCGTCTTTACATGTAACTAGTTAGTATTTGAATTTTTTCGTATCTTCAGCAATATTCCAGTACTTCACTTCATGTCTATACAGATAATAATTATCCTTCTTAATTAAAATCCTATTTACAACTAGAATTACAGAAATGCCCTCCTGCAGTACACATCAATTGTCATCTTCAAGCGACAAACAAGCTCGAGTTCATCAGATGCGTGTCGATGAGTGTTTATCGTTAAATCATGTGTTAAAAACAGATTCTTGTGATAGTTTAAATAGAAAGGTTCAAAAGAATAGTCCTCTAAAACCTGCAATTACATTGAAACAACTTCTGAACAATAAACTTGACGGTGATACTCTTCAAACAACCAATCTGATTAAAGATGAAGTAAGTAAACATAATTAAAAATGTATTTCATGTATGTCTGTATAATTGTAGCATTTTACGTTCAATGATTTTTAAATCTAGCAGTGTAAAGTTGACGATCTGTTCATCTTCGTGAAATTAGTGTCTAGTACTATGTCAAGCCTACATGAGTTTTTCTAGCTTGAATCACATTTCGACCATCTCAATTATTCACCTATAACGTTGACTGTTTTTATATGAGCATATGTGTGTCCATCTCTTACCCTACCCATCACGTCGTTAGATTATTTTTGTCTGGCTATAAATATCAGTCACACTTGCTTTCTCCGATTTGTTTCTCCACTTCGTTAATCTGATTGTCTGTCAGGATCAATGGATGAAGTACATGTATCCAAAATTCATCCTCGTATTTGACTTTTTTATTCCGTTATTCTCTAACTCAAATTCAGTCGATAATTATGTACGAGAGAACAAGTATATTTCGTTAACATCATCATATGATCAAACCGGAGTCAGATCAACGGGCCACCAAACATTCTCTCGAATATTTATATATACCTCGCATCCTCAATATACGTTTACTAGCTTCAACGAACTTTATTGTTTTGGTTTCAATCTTTTTACAAAGGTTTCTTTGCTTTTGGTCCAACTAACCAATAGTCATATATGAAAAATGATCCAAGCGCCTGGAAATTAATTCTGTCGCAAAACTTTCAAGCTCAGTTTACTGTTTTGCAGTTTGAACATCAAATTACTAGTGCACGCCTTGTTCCTCGCATTTTAGTTTTACAGAAGCTACTGAGCTGGGTTTCCTTAGAAAATTAATTCTTATCATGGATCGTCTCCTACTATTTTACCGACGTGTACATCTCTGCGTACTCACCATAAAACTATTACCTTATTTCTGACTAATTTACATTAAAATAGATCACATAACAACCTTTCTTTCATTTTATATCAACTAATTGCAGTTACGCTAATAACGTTTTGATACTTCATTATAACAAAATAATTTTCAAACAATTGTATGTAAAATTCATTTCATAGCAATTATATAGTATGATAAAAACTTGCGGTTAGTTCCTGAAATCATTTTTAATCAGAAATCCTATTTGGCTCAATATCTTGTCTAACTGATTTAACTCTGTTTATTTATTTATTTAAACACAAACCGATACAAGAAGGCACCAAATATATATGCGTCACACAAATCATTCAATTTGTGTATGGGCTGGAATACTGCCCGGGCGCCCAAACCGAAACAGGTAGTTTTCTTAAGGGGCTACACCCCGAGCCTTCGAGATAAAGGTCTGGTCCACAAGGCAGTGGAGCAACGTCAAGAAATACAATCCCATAGTGGCCAGTGACCAACGATTGGTTCATACGCCATTTGTTCCTCAGAATCCTGGGGCCCATGTGCACAGTTGGTTTGGAGTCAGTGTCTTCCAACTTCCCTAGTTGGATCCTCCGTATCCACCAACCCGGTTAAGGTGCCGGAAATTCGTTTTTCATCCTCTCAATTTTGTAAACAACACCCCCGCCACGAAGAGGCAGTAAGTAGAACTTCTCTGATAGTGGCTGTATATGCATAGCCATGTGAGAGCACTTCGAGAGGGAGAGCTGAATTTCTCCACTCTCGGCCGTACCAGGGCATTTGTGGGGCCACTCAACTTTAAATTTATGCTTATCAAAGATTGTGAATCCCTTAAAACAGCTTACTTACTTACTCCTATTACCCCTCGTGGAGGAGCATAGACCGTCCACCAGAATTCTCCATCGAAATATGTCCTGGGCAATCCTTTTCAGTTGTTTGCAGATGCTTTTGATTCCTGCTTCTAATGCTCGACGCATTGTGTTCCTTGATCTTGCTCTTTTCCGTTTCCCTTCAGGATTCCAAGTCAATGCTTGCCTCGTGATGCAGTTCGATGATTTCCGCAATGTTATGTCCTATCCATTTCCACTTAAAACAGCTACATTTACATTAATTTGTGATTGGAAATCATATCTATTGAATGTAGCTCATTTTAGAAAACCACCAATTTTCAATCGTGAATACCTTCGAAATAATTATCGTTTTTATTCAGTCCAGTAATTAAAATTATTAATACTGAATTCTAAACAAAAAGAAAGTCAATTGATAAGCTTATATCACCTTGCAACTGAGTTAGTAAAGTTGTATTACATATATTGCAGCACTGCCTAATAGAATTTCACTAAAAGTAATTTCCAAACGGCTGAGATAACTTACACGAACATGACGAATTACTAACTGGCTAGATTGGAAAACAGGCAGTGATTCATATACTGTACGAAATATGAATAAAAAATAAACAGAATTACCAATACTTCGATTTTTATTGATTCTGTGCATCATATAAGATTGTCTGTTTGTTCCCTTTTTTTGACTACCCATATCGTTTTGTCATTTATTTCCAAATATTTGTTTTTTTTCCGTTTTGTCATTCGGTGTTCTTTTTTGAACGGAACTTTTATATAGCAACTCAGCTTAGGCTCCAGTAGACTTTGGTTACATATTTATTACGTTGTATGATTAATACTTAATATTCTTCATTGTATTAAACTAAAAACTAACATCGTACCGTAAATTATCCTAAAATATAACAGCTTCCAGATGTTTTCTTCAGTTTTGAAAATGATACATGTACCAAATATTAACTTAGTAATGAGATGAATACACACATGTATTTCGACTTTCCTGTTCCTAAATTTGTGTAAACTTTTCTTGACATAACTAGTTGCGCTGTTTCATTTTTAGGTACCTTCATCTGTTGCTTCCCATACATCGATACAACAAACCTCATTGAAAGCTTCACTAGATCAAAAATTAGCTACATTTTATTCCCGTTCACGCTTACATCATCTTTCTTCTTGGGCTAAAGATCTACATAGCTTAGTCGAAGAGATGCGTAAGAATCCTGAACATAACTGTGATTTAGGCATGGAATGGTTTAATCAAATTTCAAGCGATTTATCTCCATCCAGAAGTAACAAAAAAACGATTGAGTTACGTGCACGATATGTTCATTGTAATCATTCTAATTCTTATCCACTATCAAAACCACAAAAGCCTCAAATTATATTTCATATTGATATGGATTGTTTCTTTGTCTCTGTCAGTATTCGAAGTAGACCAGAACTTAAAGGTAATTATTCCATCAAAATTTTCCGTATTCTGTATATTTTTAAAATTTAAGTGAACTAGTCACTTAGTGTATATATATATATTTATACAAAACTATTTAAATTAAAATCAAGAAATTGTATTACTAATATGATAATTTTGTTTACGTATCAGTATGCATACAAAGTCATTTTATGTGAAATTTTCTATTTTAAACATTGTCAAGCTTTAATAATTATGTACATTATTTCAGTACACGTAGTTGTAAATGTTCTCCAAATAATTCTCTTTCATTAGTTTTCCACATAACAGTAAGCTCATTAATTGACTGCTCTAAATCATGTTATGATTTACAGACATATGTTTAAAAAAATTGTAGTGTTTGTTTAATAAACAAAATGATCATAGCATACATTTTTGATGGCGTAGACGGATTGAACTCATAGTACTTTATATTTATTGATTCACAAATTCATCTCTTGTTCTGTGAGTAAGGTCTATCAAGAACATTTACGATATCTCAAACTACAGGTTTACAGGGTTGGTAATACATTTTCGTTTACTACTCTCAGATCTTCAAGTAATGAATGTGGTATTAGATAATGAAAATTTATTCATTGAATAAATACTTAAGATTTATAAACATTATTGAATATTTCTACTCCTATTTATAGTAGTCAATTTTAATAGTGATCTGAACTGGAACTAAATATACATTATTAGTTCCAGAATCGAAAATCGTTCCTCACATAGATTTCATAATTCTTAACAGCTGAAGTTGTAGAATATCACAAAACATATTCAACTACTCAATGAGACCATTTTTATTCAAATGAACTAGAGAATGAAAAAGATTTGTAGCTCAATTTCATATTTATAAGTGTTGAGATATCTTGGTTTGACTGTTTTGATTGAGAAGTATTCATTGTCATTTCGAACTACATCATAAAGAAGTGAGCCTTTCAGATACTGATTTCAGGTCAATCTAAATATCATGCTTTTGAAAATTTATCGATATTCTTAAAGTTTCCTTTATATAGAATATTTAAATGTTTCAGTAAATAATAAATATTAGCACAAATCTAAGTTGTTAATTCATGCGAATGCGATCAATAAATCACACGGTCAGAGGTCAACTTAATAAAACAGTAAACTTGAATCTACATGCAAATCCTGCGAAAACCACTTATCATAAACAAAACCCCTAGAACGCACTTATTCGGTATTTGTGAAGTAGTTTTAAAAATCTCACTTTTATTCTATAATGTCCATAATGACAATAAGAGCTTTATAAAAATTAACGCCATAAAAAGATAGGAATCCCTTTTCCGTATGCAGTTCAAGTAAAACAAATTGTTTCAGTATTGTGTTCCTCTACAGTGTTAAAAACGAAATCGTGTTAAGTTGATCCAGTATACAAGAAGTTAGATGGAATACATATTTCATTAACATAAATGCTGTCTTTTGATTATAGAGTCAGCAACGGGCACTAAAAAATCACCTTCATTTTTTCTATCCCTAGTAAAAACTTACAGTCTTCCTGATTACATTTAGTTTATGGTGGGGATACTCTTGTTAACATCTCATGCATCATTACTGTATCCAGCGAAATTCACTGGGAACTAAATGGCTTACGTATGATAGAACTATCTTAGTAACAACTCAAAGATTTGAGTAGCATTGCAGATCCTTAAGTTTACATATTAATATGATAATCCGAGGTATTCAGTTAATTTGAACTAAACAAATAGAAAATTTATTGTAAAAACATGAGCATAATTATTTGGAAAGATTTATCGATCACTAACGAAACTCTGACACGATTGTACAAATTTCACCAATCTACAATGATCATAGTTTTATATATATATATATATATATATATATATATATATATATATATATATATATATATATATATAGCTATAAAAGGATCTCACCATATTTTGTTTGTACTAGTATATGATGTAGTTGAATCGATCTGACTTCCGAATTCATATATTTTACTGAAACTTGAAAAATGTGAAAAATTATATTCATTGTGACTTTCCAACTATCTTATATATTTTTCTTTCATCAGACAAGCCAGTTGCTATTACACATGCGAAAAGCTCACGTGGTTCATTTAACGACATTAGAAGTAGTAATAAGTAAGTTGTATTCTGAATCCTTTGAGTTAATTTCGTCATGTAATTTATTCTCTTCACTTATTTTCCACTTACTGATAGGAAGTCAGTCAGCTACAACGTAGTACCACATATATACATCAGTCCAAGTTGCCCTTCCTCATTAGCACAGCAAGATGAACACTAAATTCATAGAAGTAGTTACTTTAATGGTAGTAATAATATAGAAAAAAAGTTGTATATAAGGGTATAATACAGGAAGAATTAGTTGGCAAAAAGATATAAAGCAATTTCAATCTCACGGTTTAAGAGAAAACATAGTGTATACACCTACGCCATTGTGATCGATTCTGAGCCACATCACCCAGTCTCCAGCCAATCGTTACGATAGTCACGCAAACCTCAATACTGATAGGGAACTTCAATTCAGTAGCCCAAGGTGCGTGATACCATTCCGGTACTTCTATCGAGACTAATGGTCCTCAGGTGAGGTCACTACCTAAGTCTCAAATGAAACCCTGTCACAAGCGGTTAAGGCGATAATAAAAACTAAGTCCTCACTTTATTCGGTACACACATACATACTCTCTTATCCATATGTTATTCGCATCGGTTTTGAAACTCTTACTTTCATTGTGTTAAGTGACTCTGATGTAGTGAGGAAAACATTTTCATAAAGGCTCCGCAGAGTTTGGCTACATGAAAACATTAAAAAGGGCAAGAAAATAGACACATCGCCTGTCCATTTCATGGCTCTCCGCTTCCGCTGGTTCTTTAACTATTTTTAGCTCATTATACAACTTATGCTATAAAATTTTAAAACCTAGTATTCATATATAGTCGCATTGATGATAAACATTCATAGCACAGTATTATTGTCAAAAATATATCGTAACCAAATCTATGTTTTGTTTTACTACCATTACAGACACACGGAATCGATGTCTGAAGTTGCTTCCTGTTCATATACTGCTCGTCAGGTAAGTGTAATTAAAGTTTAAATACCTACTTGTATCATTTAGAATTTTCTAAATTAACACTTTCAGTGTAAGTTAGACATTGTTTAGTTAAAAATAAACTTAAGATTTTACGAAACCTAAGGCCAACTTACACATAAATCTAAAACTATTAGTTAATTTTCCACATTGCAAAAATCCATGAGTTAAATGTTCATATAATCCAATAGAAGTAAACAGCTGTAAAAACCCTCATTTGCCTTCCTTGAGAGTACCGAGTGATAGGCACCTACTTTTAATTCCGATAGAATAACACATGACAGATACAATCTATCCTCTTTAATCTGCACAGGCTCCTAGCTTTCAATTATTACCCATTAATCAACAAATACTTTTTTGATATGCTAGTCACTATACATGTAGCCAATTCTAGAAAGGATACATTCCACAACTTTGTGATTTGAATAAAACCTCAATGTATTAATTGGATGCTGAGAACATATTAAGTTGGATCTCTTCATTTATCTCTATAACTAATAGTATTTACATTATCGTAGATGGAATCACTTATGATCATTATTCTTAAACTAGAAATTTTAATAAACACTTCATGAGGATAGAGGAAAAGTTTATGAATTATCGTTCCGTAGAAAGACTAAGGTGAACTAAGTTTGAAGCAACTTTCAAATAACTAAGTCTCCCAATACCAGTTACATGGTTTTCGTATTAGAATAATTTCTTAGCGTTCTTGATATTCAATTTATTTTACATAAATTTTCATACGTTTCAGGTTGGAGTGAAAAACGGAATGCTTCTAGGAAGAGCCAAACAACTATGCCCAGAATTAATTGTTTTACCGTATGAGTTCGAGGCTTACAAATCAGTATCAGAGCTGCTATATAATACCATTTCTCGGTAAGTCAGTTGCTTTTGTACTTATTAACGGAAATAGGCTTGTAACACTAACCTACATTTTCGTCCTAAGTATGGCTTTCGGCAATCCTCGATACCATACAAGTAATAAGTCCTCAGTTGTAGATAGACAATCAGTGAGAAACCAAACGGTGCAGTTGATTAGTAGAGTTGAACCATACCTGCCAGTATTATTGGACGATTTCCACGCCATGTCACTGATCGACTGAAGTTTCCTATATGGACTACAAAGTCATATACTAGGATGGAACATCTTTCCCTTGGTTTATTATCTAACAAAAGCCATTTCAGAACCATAGCTAGTTTTTCATCTGCTTTTCGTTTTAGTGGAATATATCTGAAGGCTCTTACATGTTTCGACAGTTTTCTTTCGTTTCTTTACAAAATGAAAGATGTCTGGATTTTGATTTCACTGTTATTATGAAACTTCCGTCTAAAATTTATATTGGTCTATTCTATTCCGTAAATTATAGCTTCACTCGAGACATCCAAGCGGTAAGCTGCGATGAACTGTATGCTGATTGTACAGAACTACTAACTTATTCGAATGAAAACGAGATCAAACCGAAACTCCATGATGGTAATTGGGAAGTTACCTATCAAATCATTAATCCGTTAATTTTGGGTAGTTATATACGAGAATTAGTAAAAGACATCACTGGTGGATGCACAGCTTCTATTGGATTTGGTACAAGTAAATTATTGGCACGTTTAGCCACAAAGAAGGCTAAGCCCAACGGCCAATATTGGCTTCTTGGCCGCTCTGGAAGCGCATGTCCGAAACTTGATAGGCCAACAAAAAGGGGAAGCTGGAGGTGGTATTCTTCAGAAGGGGATGTAGAACAGCTAGATGTCCACTCGGAATGTGAATTAAACGGCGATGAGTACCAGTGGCTGTGTGACCTACCCCTCACTGAAATTCCAAGTAAGATTTTTTGATCTTATGTAGATAGTATACTGGATTAACGCATTACAGCTATACTTATACCGCAAAATATATCCTTATTTTTTAGGTATCGGCAGATCCCTAGCAGGTAAAATATTTCAAGCATTTGATGCAAAAACGTGCGGCCAACTGATGTCCGAAGTCTCTCACAATCAAATCACAAACTTACTTGGAAAGAAGACTGGTAATCGTGTTTACATGGCATGCCGCGGAAAGGTTGGTCTAAGTTTTCCGCTTGCATTTTAAATGAAACGGACAAAATAGTCCATTAAGTGAATACTACCAATCAAAATGTGAAACACGAAGGTTCACATACACTATTTTAAAATGTCACTGACTAGTGCAAAGAATATCTGAAGCTTGGATGAAAAGCATTACAACTTCACCACAATTGTATTAAGATATTTTAAGGTACTAACCGAGCTGAAAAGTGATGACGATATATTTCTGTGTGGGTAGAGTTTAAATCCACAATGACTTTTCTTGGCTCTTTTTGTATACAGATAGGTGAAGGATAGGACCAAACAATATTCTGGTTTCAACGCTGCTAAAATCGTGATATAAAACTTGAGTAATTAATGATAAACTATTTAGGTGATATTTTTCTATGAAACTACGTAAACATTAGAAAGCTGCTTTCCTGCTATCAAATCATGATCAGAATCCTCCAGTAACTCTGTTTATTAGTTACAACACACAACATAGGTTGAGCCACAGTCGTGAAATTCCCGTGTTCCCAGACAACTATAGCAAGTTCCACGCATTCGTCACTAAGTTCTTTGTGTAGCTTCACGCGACAGTAACCTGTCTTGGTTTTTGATTGGTCCTCTGAGACGTTGGAGGACGATGAAATTTACAGTAACGTTGTCTTCAAGAACACTGTCAATATAACAGCGGCATAAACCAGCCTATTATTCAACTACTGAGACACTGAAGCAAACATAACGCTAGTCGAGTCATCAAAATAAAATCCTATATGTTGAACTGATTAGCGATTGAAATTTATTCGCGGTAGCCGTTATTTTACATTGATGTCACTTATCAGACCTAATTTTTCGTCTTGTAAACATCTCTTACTATTTTAGGATTTGGACAGTTTGCATTTCGAGAAGGAATATAAATCTATATCAGCATCGATGAACTACGGAATTCGATTAAGCTCAGTAAGTTTCCTGAATTTGAATTTCTATTGGTGTACGAATTTTATTCGTGAAGATAATAAAATCAAAAGACCAAGTTCATCAAAACCACATCATTTATTAGATCAATGCATTTCAAAATTCTGAATGGACACTAACTTGTTAAGACACTTATATGTGAGAAGTAAAGGTCAAATAGATGACCAAGATATAAATTTCAAAAAGGGCATTAATTAGTCGATAAAGGAAGTACATAATTTCTCAAATTAACAGGAGAATGTTGATGAGAATCAGATATATATTTATTGAAGACAGTAGATGGATGATAACTGTAGTGATCGCTCATGAAGTTTTGTAGGATAACGGGACACTATCAACGTTCATCGAAATACAAAATTCATCGAATAGATACCTTACACAGTTAAGTTGGAGTTATCATCGAGAAGATCAAACTGTTGTGTAGTTTAGAAAAACTCTATTGTTCTGCAACTTACCAACGAGATGACGTCACCAGAAATCTGAAACTTTAACTATAGCAGATAAGTCATTCACCATAATTAGCTCTAGGATTAGAGACGGACAAATTCCTTCTGCGTACTGGATGGAATTACGGTTACGAATTCACATGTGCGTACCAAAAGAAATTAAAAATTTCGTATGTTTTTACTTTTTAGATCCTAATAACTTTTGTTATAGTTTTCATGATGGATTAACTTCAGATGAAGGGACTGACCAAGTAAGCAATAATCATGCACTTAAAAGTGACTAACTTCAGCTTCACGCGAAAGTTGTCACTGATGGGATTTAACCATATCAAGAGCAAGATATGTATCAACATAAAATTGGATCACTGTCGCGCTATATCATAAAGTGACTGGACTACTAAATTCCTAAATAATGGTCTAATAATAACGTACTCGCTGTGAGACCTGTGTGTTTTGGGTTTGATCCTTTGTGCAGCTACTTGTTGGCTATTTAACCCATTTGTCTTAATAAATCCTTGTAAACGTAAATGTTTTGTGTTGCAAGCGGTTAAAAAAATCTGTCAACTAAATAGCTTTTCTTGTTTTATTAAAAACCAATATTGTTGGCGGCCGACCCTCAGTCAACCATCTAACAACATAAAACTAGGTACATGTATGCGTCCAAGTTGTCATACTTCATTAACATAACAAGATGAACACCGAATTTATGGAGGTAGTTGATTCAATTATGGTAATATATAAAAGAAACATGGCATATAAGGATATAGAGTACAGGAAGAAAGAATTAGTTTGTAGAAAGATATGAAGCAATTTTATTCTCACGGTTTAAGGGAAGACAAATAGTATATACACCGACGCCATTGTGGTCGATTCTCAAACATATCACACAGTCGTTACCCCAACCAAGTAGTCTGCATATACCAACATGGCTCAGACTAGAAGTTAATGACTTCAAGCATTAATGCCACGTTTTAGTTTGGCTCCCCCTAACGTTCTTCCAACTATCCACCACAACATTAGTCACTAATGCGCGTCGCGACAATCGGTGTTCAGGCATACGTAACACGTGGCCCAACTATCTCAGTTGACGAAGTTCTAAAACCTCACCAACTGATTCACCATCATTCCCTAATACCCTGCGTTAAACCTCACTATTACTCACGCGGTGATCTCAGTGCATGCGAGCAATATTTCTAAGGCATTTGTGATAAAATATAAGTGACTTACAAGTGTCTCCTACTGTTAATGCCCACGCTTCGCAGCGTATTCGTCCTTTATTTGATAGACGGGTATCTCACCTTCGCCATAGGTGACATAAGTTGGCAAGAGTCTAACAGATTTTGTCACACACCAATCCATCGGAGCTGATTAGACTTCCAATATAAGTGAAGTTGTCGATGCGTTCGACTACTTCACTCCCTATAATTAGTTCAGGTGTTCACGCAGACCAGTCCTGAAGTAACAATCTGCATTTAGAGAGGGAGAAACGCGTTCCAAGGAACCTGGCATTGTTTCTCAGTGCTACCAAAGGGACTGAATTTTATAAGTGTCCTCGCCAAACAGGACTATGTTATCTGCAGTCCAAGTGAGAACAATTCTGCAGAGACGACAACAACTAGACACAACTGTTAAAAAAATCATGGCTTAAACCGAATGCATCACAAACTAAAAAACTTTTGAGACTCTAGTGCAACGGATATTTTAGATTGGCTGGCATCATGAAATATTACCCGCATTGGCATCTAGCATTCTGTACCAGTACAAAATAATGGAATTTTTCTGTCACCAGCCCACAATCAATTACCCAGATGAGCACAGTTCTTTACTATTTCCATTGATTTTTCGAGGAGAAATATGGACATGATATTCTCATGATCTACAAACAAGACAAAAGACTTTTAATACAAAACGCAAGACGCCATTCAGAAACCATAGAAACAATATTTCACATGAAAATGTGGCTATAAATTAATGCAGTTGTGTAATCACTGCATCTAGATCTCTACTTGATGGTATTTTCTGAAATCTGTAACTAGACGAAAAAAGATTTGTGTAGCAAACGTAGAAAAATCATGTGGCGCAACCACATAGTATGCTGTAAAGAGGTACAACTTTCATCGTTGCTATTGACCAACTATACATAGAATTAATGTAACACCATTCCATGCAACATATGCTAAAATGATTATGTGTGGTTCAGAAAGGAGACCAATGAAAGAAACTATATTTTACATTAGCGAAGGAAACGACTCAGTATTTCTAGCCGAACAGCTAAAACAACTATTTAGTTAATTCAGGTTTCAATGAACTCGGATATATTTAGAGTCGAAACGTACGTAACGCAACTGCGTATTTCGGACAGCAATCATATAAAATACGGTTTGGTTTTTCAATGAGATTTTGTTGATAGTGGTTGGTACACACCTATGTGAATAACAGAACCAGGAAATAAAATATACATATCGAATTCCAACTTATTGTGGATTATAATGAATCATCCCTATTTCTGGAATTTACTCAGAAAATGTGTCAGTGTACATAATTAACGATCCAAATTTTACTGAAGATGGAAATATTTATTTGACATGGAAAAGATTTACTGTTTATAATTAAACTTTTAGCAATCTGAATTAGAAGCCTTAGTACATTCACTATGTGAAGAATTGAGCTCTAGAATGCGAAATATAAAAATGAGTTCAATGAATGCCGGCTGTGTAGGAAAATCGCTAACCGTCAGATTATACCTACGACTTCCTAACGCACCCGCACAGACTTCAAAATATATGGGTAAGTGGTATGGAGTGTATCTTTATAATGCAATTAGTTTCCTATGTACTTACACTTTTTCCAATTAAGCTTACTTATACACGGACGTTACATGTCACTAAATTATTTGAAAAGAAAAATACTTCGTTTATAACTTTGCAGCATTCCTAAACTCATGATACCGATTAGCTACAGAAATGCTGACAGTGTAACTTGAACTTTCAAAAGTTGTGCGCCCAAAATATATAAACGCTTGGCAAATGAGAATTGCATAACCTCAACCAGTACAGAATAACTAGTTGTATTTCAGCTTATTTATGATTCCGTTTGTTAAAATGACAAATTCACCAAACATCAATAAAAACTACCACAATAAGTAAAATATTACTCACATTATTACAATATCATTACAAGACAGTAGTAGGTATATAAAAATTTACTACTAAATATACACTAGGTATCTAAAAATCTATCGGGTAAAAGTTTACTAATTAAATCGATATAACATTAAAGTCTGCACCTGCTGTCCAGTTCAAAATCTTTAGCTTGAAAAACATTGGCAAACGGGTTATTTAGATAAAGACAGTACTAGAGTCGTTCGTCCATTCGATTAATTAAGCATCCTTCGCACTAAGCTAGATAAGCGTTGAAAAGTATAAGTGCCGATACTTTTTAATGGTATTTAAAGCGAGTTAATCTTATGACGAACGTTGTACTACTTTTGGATTTCTCTAAATATAATTTTTCGAAACATCTATTACATGTAGCAATATATGTCATTTGACTCAGAACTGACGGCATTTATAGTAATAAATGAACCTCATGGTAAGTTAGTTGTTTAACAATGTGAAAGCTGATTAAGGATTGTAAACTATGTATATGGGTCAGTTTAGAAGTATCCCAGTATTCTATCAGGATAAACACTTGAACATAAAAAGATTTTATTTTTTAACGATACTGGGAATAATTCGATCGGAAAAGACGCGCTGTGAGATATGATAGACAGTTTTTAGCTAAACCGACGTTTTTTTTTAGTAAATAATGTACAGGTATGTGAACAAATATGTCAGCACCGCCGAAATAATGTTTTATGCATGACGCACGGGGATTCTTAGTAAGTAGCTGGGTTGTTAATATGTTACGCGAAATCAAGCCTCAATTAAGCAACGACGGAAGACAGGCCTATTCATTTACATTAAACTTAAGCGAATATCTTATCTTGTATGTGGAAAAATTCTCGTTCTGGCTTACACCTGTTTCTCGATCATTGGTCGGATGATCGAATCAATTTAATAACAAAGTTTAGAGTTTTGTCCTACTGATCTAATTATTTAATTTCTAGTGAAGGACCATAAATCGCAAATCTTATATCTCCATAATAACATTTCCATACACAGGATGCGCATTTATCGATGCACATTCACGTAAAAAATATTGTATGAAAATGTTATCTACAAAATACAAACGAAATAAAACCCCAAATTTGCGTCTTATACATCATTTAATTAATCAGATATATATTTTCAATCTCCAGTTATATGATACGCAAACAAATCGATTCTTACTTCCTAATTTAGGTCATGGTTTATGTTCAATAACCAATCACACTATACAAATGACTGAATATACAGCAGAACCTACAATCCTTTATCGATATGCAGTAAAAACAGTTAATCGATTATGTCCTGAACCAAAAGATTTACGGGGAGTGAGTTTCCTATATATTTTAAGTATACTGAAGTTATTAAAACATATTATCTAGCTTCCTAGGAAACCGTTGTTTTTGGATGGATATACAACAGAATTAAATTTAATAAAATATTTTCTGCACTATTAATGCATATAATTGAAAGTAAAATTTACAAAACTTACCTTTAACATTGTGTTTGTCTAAATTGCGAAGTTTACCTCATAACACATTATTATCCCAAGCCAAAACAGATTTCACAATCCATGCAATTTTGATACTAACAAAGCAGACCAGAAAAAAGTCGACCATTACAGCATGAAGGAGAAACTTTACCTTAAATTGTTTTCGGAGATTAATTTCAAGACAATCGGTTACCTAACGAAAAAGTCTAAGTATTTATCAACCAACTCGCTGAATGTTCTTACTTGAATGACAGGACCATCAAAGCAAATGGAAACTATACAAGCACTTTGATTTGCAGCACGGAAATTAATGACTACCCTTAGATTTAAGTAACATTCATGAATATAGTGCCAACGTTTTAGATTGCTTCAGTTGTTATGAGATGTTTCTTATCCATAATGCAATTAAAACATGAGCGTATCTTTTATCCTAATGTTTACTGAGTGAAAGGAAATCTCTCCGATTCGTGTAATGACGCCTGTCTGTTTAGTAACTAAACAATTTATTAAATATTGTAAACTACTTATTTTAAACTCCGAAACGAAACACCGAGAAAATCAATCGTCCACATTTATTTCACCATTTGGAGATCAGGACTTTTAACGTAAGCAAGTTGACTTGATAAGCGTATGCTACGAACAAAACGTTACGTGTTGGCTTATTCTCGTAACTTGATTTAAATTTTAGGACGTAAAAATCCTGAATTACTTGATAACGAATCAAATAGAAATACAATTCTTCGAATCTTCCCAGGAAAAACCATTTTAAAAAGGACTTGCTATTTAGGAACACTAGGCAATTCTCCATAAAACTTTTATAAGGATAAATTATGAATAAAGACTGCAATTTCAATGTAAT